ATATCTATAAATTATTAAACAGGATTTGACTAAAGCTTGTATATTTTAAACAGTTTTTTTTTTAACTTTGGCTTTGGTCTTCAGGTTAAGTAAATTTTGTACTTCAACTGATCTTAAGCTCTGTTAAAGGGTAGATGTCTGTACTACCTGTCATATTCAATGTATTATGGATGGACTATCCCTTACTCATCCAATACCTTGATGAGGTGCTACATCTGAGACACAAGGGAGAGTCAAGGCTCTGTATGTAGGATTTTCTACTTGCTCTGGACTTCCTTGCCAACTCTAGATGAGTTCTCACTTCAGTCCAGCTTGGGTAAAAACTGAGCTTTGAAGACAGCCTCTCTAAGGGCTATTACATCAGCCAGGAATTTTGCCAAAATCAGGGCTTTAGGGCAGTAGGGATCCTTTCATGACCAGCAGAGGACCAGTTAGGATCATCTTCAATCCAGTTGGCATAAGGATTGAGCCAGGAAGACAGTCTATCTAAGGGCTATATCCTCAGCCAGGAAGCTTGCCAGGATCAGGGCTTAGAACCCTTTGGCGGCTTGCTGCTCTAGATGGGATCTCTTTCAGTCCAGTTTTGAGTAAAGGCTCAGTCATGAAGGCAGCCTCTCTAAGGACTTTTTCCTCAGTCAGGAAGTTTGCCAGGATCTGGACATTAGGATATAAGGGATCCTTGTTGCATTCTGCCTAGCATGGGTAGTGTTTATACCTATACTGGGTTGCAATATGAGGTGGCTTGACATCCTATGAGATCAAAAGTTTTTATACCACCATATGCAGGACCACTAAGGATAACTCGTTCGATTCCCTGAATATTGGGAAACATTGTGCATGCTCACAAGTTACAGCTTTGCTTAGAGTTTTCGAACATCTCTTTGTCATTCCAGCAGGATGGAGATATTATCCAGAATCACTGGATGGGTTATTCTGGCTAGCCAACTAGCTTATAGGGCCTAAGATTTGGGACAACATAGTATTCCACCAAGGCTGTTATGGCTCACTGTGGTGCAAGGCTAGCTTCCTTATCCTGTTAATATTTTAGCTGTAAGTTTTCTGTTGGCTAAGTGCTTGTGCACTTGTTTTTTTTTGGCTAGTTAGTTCCCAAACGTATGCTGCCATGGAGTCTGTCAGGAAAACAGACTTGCTGGGTTGAAAATTAAACTGAAGGTGCACAGAAGACATGTGTATGTCATCATCATAATAAATAACCAGACACATAAATTGCTCAGATTACTGATTCCAAGTTTTCACACTTCCAAGCCAAGATCCAAATACTTTACTAGCGTTGTAGGACCCAGGTATTAGAGTGCCATTATTTTTGGACCAAAAGTCTCAGCATAACATTGCAGTGGAAGAGAAGTGTTAGTGTGCCATTGTGGTGGCAGCCCCAGGTGTTACTGCTGTGCTGTGTCAGTGTGGCAATGCTGAAGATACACTATATTGCCAAATTGTGACACCCCTCCAAATCATTGGATTCAGGTTTTCCAATCCCCTCCATGGCTACAGGTGTATAAAAGCAAGCACCTAGGCATGCAGACTGCTTCTACAAACATTTGTGAAAGAATGGGTCACTCTCAGGAGCTCAGTGAATTCAAGCGTGGTACCGTGATAGGTTGCAACCTGTGCAATAAGTCCATCCATGAAAATTCCTTGCTACTAAATATTCCACGGTCAACTGTTGGTGGTATTATAACAAAGTGGAAGCAACTGTGAACAACAGCAACTCAGCCATGAAGTGGTAGGCCACATAAAATAACAGAGCGGGGAAGTGCACAGTTCACAGAAGTCGCCAACTGTCTGAGAGTCAATAGCTAAAGACCGCCAAACTTCATATGGCCTTCAGATTAGCACAATAGTGCATAAAGAGCTTTATGGAATGGGTTTCCATGGCCGAGCAGCTGCATATAAGCCTTACATCACCAAGTGCAATGCAAAGCATTGGACGCAGAGGTGTAAAGCCACTGGACTCTAGAGCAGTGGAGACGTGTTCTCTGGAGTGGCCAATCATGCTTTTCTGTCTGGCAATCCAATAGACATGTTTGGGTTTGGCGGTTGCCAGGAGAATGGTACTTATCTGACTGCATTTTGCCAAGTGTAACATTTGATGGAGGGAGGATTTTGGTGTGGGGTCTCTTTTCAGGTGTTGGGCTTGGCCCCTTAGTTCCAGTGAAGGGCACTCTTACGGTGTCAGCATTCCAAGACATTTTCAACAATTTAATGCTCCCAACTTTGTGGGAACAGTTTGGGGATGGCCCCTTCCTGTTCCAACATGACTGCGCACCAGTGCACAAAGCAAGGTCCATAAAGACATGGATGAGCAAATTTGGGGTGGAGGAACTTGACTGGCCTGCAGAGTCCTTACCTCAACCCGATAAAACACCTTTGGGATGAATTAGAGTAAAGGCTGCAAGCCAGGCCTTCTCGTCCAACATCAGTGCCTGGCCTCACAAATGTGCTTCTGGAAGAATGGTCAAACATTCCCACAGAGACACGCCTAAACCTTGTGGACAGCCTTCCCAGAAGAGTTGAAGCTGTTTTGGCTGCAAAGGGTGGGCCAACTCATTATTGATCCCTACAGACTAAGACTGGGTATGCCATCAAAGTTCATGTGTGTGTAAAGGCAGGCATTCCAATACTTTTGGCAATATTGTGTATATGCATCAGCCGCACACACCAAAAAGTATTAAGCTCATGGTCAATACTGGGTGCTGTACAGATAGGAGGGATGGTAACATCTACACCAGGTCAACAGCATACACCAGTAAACCATTCTTGTTCCATCTAAAAAAAAAATTTAACATCTCCAAGGTTTGCCAACATTTTAGAGCCATGCAAGGCCCCCTTATCATATTTCATTCTGCATGCCTTGGAAACTTTATCACTCCTTGGGGAAAAGTATGGTGATATTAAAGGATAAGTTCACCTTCTGTAACATGTTACATCAATATTCAGGGTGTAACATGTAACATTACAAATGGATTGGCCCCCGCAACCCCCTCCCCCATTCCCCCATTGTGACAGCTAGCAAGGAATCTTCTCCTCCCGCTAGCTGTCACACTTGTTTTTTAAATGTGGCTGTGTGTGGCTCTGCCCACCTGGCTGTGTTACTCATTTACAGTGTTCTGTAAATGAGAAAACCACAAGCCCTAGCAGCCTTTATGGTTGTTGGCTTGTAGTTTTCAATAAATTACCATGGTGCTGTGAGCACTGTGGAAGTTCATTGAGTCTTCCTGTCAGTAAGTATTGGCTTACCTGTACGAGGTACAAGGAAGCAGATGCAGTGACAGGTCTGCAGAAGACCTGCATGGTAAAAGTGATCTGCTGATTGCTGGTGCAATGCTTTACAGGCTCCCAAAATGAAAAATAATAATTGCACATTTTTTTACCTGCAAAAACAGGTGAATTTATCCTTTAACCATTTTTCCTGAAACAAGGATTGGGTATTATGATTCTGCATTGTTCTTGGATTAGAACCGTGGTACAGTAGACAGACAATAGATGAGAGTCTACCAATTTGGACTTTTTGGGAGAATTGGGTGACAAGCCAATATCTGTGGGGAAGTGCACCACAGCTTAAAGTTGAATTTTGTCATATAAAAAAAAAATACTCTTGAAGTGGGGCCTTCCTGCACTTCAAAAGTAAAATGCTTGTTTAGTTTAGGGAGAGTGGAATAAGCAGTAATACTTACCTTATTACTTACTACTCTCTGGTAACAAAGAATAAGGTAAGTGTTAGAGCCTATCTATTCCTCTATTCCTAGACTTAACAGGCCTTTGACCCCCTGCAGTGCAGGTAGTCCCCACTGCAAGGGTAATTTTTTGCTGCTGCCTGGAGTGGGGTTTTAACAAGCATTCATCATAAACAAATCAACTGTGGAGGTTACAAAACTTTATTTGATTACTACTTTTTAATCACTTCAAGTGCGGATAATTTCACCCCCTTCCTGTCCAGGCCAATTTTCAGCTTTCAGTGCTATCACACTTTGAATGATAATTGCACGGTCGTGCAACATTGTACCCATATAAATTTTTAGCATTTTTTTTTGATAAAACTTTATTTTGGTGGTATTTATTCACCACTGGGTTTTTTAATTTTTTACTATATAAATGAAAAAGTAAAACAAATTTTTTTTTAAAGTGTTTTTCTTATAAAATTTTGCAAATAATCTTTCTTCATAAATCTTGGCCAAAATGTATTCATGTATTCATCTATCTTTTTAGTAAAAAAAAAATAACCCAAATTAGTTTAGAACCAAAAATTATAATTTTTCAAAAAAAGTTTACATTTTAATTTTATTTTTTCATGTTATTATTTATGTTTTTTTTTGTTAACATACTATCACCCTAGCAGTACAGTGTCACCATAGTGACACTGTACTACTTGTGGGGGGTGATGAAGATTTTTTTTTTCTTTTTTTACACTGCTTGTAAAAGCAATCATTTCTCCTTCTCTCTGGCTGCAATCCTGCAGCCATTGAGAAATACTGTGCAAGCTGTGATTAATCACAGCTTGTCACATGGTACAAAGCTGTTGTGCATAGTGACATCTTGTTTACTACTGTTCATGTGATCACTGATTGGCCAATCAGTGATCAACATGAATGAGGACCTCACACAGAGGTCCCGTACAGCGATCTGTGTTCCGTTGTGTCCAGAGGACACAGTGGGCACTGATCATGGTGCTGCTCGCTCCCAGAGAGCGTGCACAGGCAATGGATGTGGGGGGACATTTAGAGACATCCACCTGCATCGGCAGTGCTTCATCTGGCCTTTTATCAACATGGGCCAGACTAGAAGATATTAACAGGCTTGTCTGTGTCCAGCACCCATTTATCCTCCACTGCCCTATACAGGGATGTTTCTGCATCAAATTGCATACGTACATCCCAGCTTCTTTAATGTCTAGGGCCATCTTTCATAAGGACAATGTGAAGTGTCAGAGTACAATGTAGACATGCATCTTCTGTATACCGATATGAACTCTCAATACTTACTTCCCAGTAAACTGTGTCATCATAGCAGCTCTGGTCAGGTGGCTGTCCCCAGAAAGGTATTTTCAGTATAAACCCTAGAAAAAAATTTCAGTGTTAATGTTATGGTTCATATGTGTGATATTACTTTAATAAAATTCAGAAAAACTGCATGTACGATTGTTCTGAGTGACTGATGGCAAGAACAAATATTATCACGTTTTTTCTCTCCAGGTTGAACGTTATTCATTCATACAAAATAAAATGAATAATTCCACATTGTGGTCACTAGATGGAGTTGATGATCAAATTAAATAAATACTTACCATGATTGTCAGCTCCATCTAGTGGCCATAATGCAGTATTTTCCTGATTCACTCTATTCTTTGTGAGGAATATTTAACCTGGAGAGAAAATAGCCTAACAATACTCTATATTGTTCCTATTCACACTGAACAAATGTACAAGCAGTTTCACAGGATGAATAGCTTTCAAACACAAATATACCCTTATGTTTTATTACTTTCTATCTTTTTAATCTCTGTTAAGTACTTATTCTGTTTTACCAATATAGGATCATCACAGAAAAGATGTGCATCGTTATTCCTGTCTTAGGAAAAACTCAACAGAAAGTTATAACAAAGAGCAAAACCTTCAAAAATCAGGTACACAGTCCAGAGCACATTATGCTTTTAAGGCACTTTACCCTGTAATTTCCTTACAGTAGTTTTTTCAGCAAGGTGCCAGTCACAATATCTGATATGTACTGTAGATACAACAGGGCCGCCATCTGGGTGGGGCAGCCCATACACTTGTAGGTGCCCGGGCGGCCCTTCTGCGTGGGTTGGGTCAGACCACAGGGTGCTGGCAGAGGACCCTGTGGAGGAGGAGGAAGAAGAGGATGAGGTCAGGCTAGAGGAGCCCCCCCCACTTTTTCCTGGTGTAGATGGGACACAGGCTCAGCTATTCTTCCTGGCACCAGATCCCTCCACTGACACTATCTGGAGGAGACAATACAGGACAAGTGAGATCTGGGAGGATAGGTGCTTCCCAAGGTGTGTGTGATCAGAGTAACACTGCCTCCCTCCCATCCCACTTCCCCTTCCTGTGACACTGCCCGCTCCTTTCCCGCTGTCCTCCTCCTATCCTGCTGCCTCCCTCCTTTGACACTACCCCCCATCTGTCCCACTGTCCCCTTCCTGTCCCCCTGCTCCCCTCCTGTCACACTGCCCACACCTGTCCCACTGCCCCCCCCCTCTTGCCACACTTCCCCCACCTGTCTTGCTGCCCCCTCCTTTTCCACTGCCCCTTCCTGTGGGAGGAGGAGATGAGACTGAAGGAGGACATGGGATGGAGGACATGAGACTGGCGGGTGGAGAGCATGGGTTGGAGGCGATGGGACTGTAGGAGGAGGACATGGTATTGAGGAGATGGGACTGTAGAAGGAGGACATGGTACTGAGAATATGGGACTGGAGAAGGAGGACATATGATGGAGGAGATGGAACTGGAGGAGGAGGAGGACATGAAAGGGAGAAGATGGGACTGGAGAAGTAAGAGGAGATGGGACTGGAGGAGGAGGACATGGGGTGGGGAGATGGGACTAGAGGAGGAGAAGGAGGAAATGGGGTGGAGAAGGAGAACATGGGCTGGGAGTCATGGGATTGCCAGTGGGTGGATTTGGTGGGACAGCCAGTGGGCAGGCCCTGGGGAATATTGGTGGTCAGGTTTTTTTTTATGTTTTATAGCATGCTAATGAAAAAAATTTAACCATGCAGGTTATAGGGAGGTGGACCAAAGGGAACCAAAAAGCCCTTCACTGAACTAGGTGAAGTCTTCTTCATACACAAGGTATCTGCATTTTGTGCTTCCATCATATATTCAAAAAAATAAAACTTTATGGCCCACATAATAACCCTATGTTGACACAATGGTCTAGTGATCATGAGAGATATCATTGAAATAACATTGTTAACAATATGACCACTCATACTGGGACCATCATGCAACAACAATGGTCTATTCTGATCCTCCAGTTTGGAGGCTAGGCATGGGTCTAACAATGAAAAAATGTAACTGCTGTGAAGATCAAACAAAAAGCCCTTGTGGGCTGTAGTGTTGTATAGTAGTAGGAAAAGCAGCATCTTTGTATGCTGTGTGTTTGAATCAGTGAGCAAGCCTATATCAGTTTTTTTTTCAATAATAATATTATACAGTAGTGCTACCCGTTTTACTTTTGTTTACATTGCAAAACCTTGTAAGTTTCACGATAATGTAACAAATCCATTATCAATACCTTGCCAAAGTGGACTCAATGTCCATATAGAAAACATGTGGAATTCTACCTAAATAGTACCCTGAAATATCTTGAATTTCCTCATGAAAAATAGCAGTGTAGTTCCAGTGCCTCTGAGGATGCCCAGTGGGAGGGTCGAAATGCATTAGACACAGACGTGGTCAGGGGCGGTCTGACAACTCATGGGGCCCCCAGGCAATAGGGGATCATGGGACCCCTGTTTCCTTGCCCACACTCAAAGCACACCCCAAAAAGCCTATAAAAAGGTACCAGGGGCCTTTCATGGGGCCCCCTACTGATCCGGGCCCTCGGGCAGTGCCCGAGTGCTCGAATGGTCAGTCCTCCCCTGGACGTGGTGATACTAAGCTTAGGAGCTTTGTGGAATACTAGAGACCTATTATTGTATACTTAGAGATTCATGCCTATTATATCTGGAAACGTGAGTGCAATACCAGTGTGTCTGCTTTTACTAATACACGGAATTACACTATTTTGGATGCCTCTCTCCATTCCTTACATGTATATATCTATCAGCTCTACATTTGAATCACTGGGAATGACAAGCAACATTTAATCAAGAGGACTACAAGCTCCAGCATGACTTCCTATGCCCCACCAAAAGAGTGAAAGACTCTTATTTCACCATAAGAGTCCATTAAAGTTGGTGAGTGAGGGGGCACACAGGCAGGGAGCACAGAGCACTTATCACCTTCTGCCTGTGAAAGGGATTTTTGTTCACTTGATTTCACATTTGGGAGTTTATTTCACTATTTATTGTTATGTGTTTATTATTTAAGCATGTTTTTATGTCATATAACATACATTGAGGCAGCGCTCCTGCTATTTTGTGTATTATAGTGTAGTTCCAGTGCCTAGGCACCCCTGTGCCTAAAGCCTCATAGCTGTATATCTGCAGTGTAATATAATCTAAGGGACTGCTGCCTCTGATTGTTAGTCTCAACAGATTTGGAATGATATTTGGTGATGTTGCTCCTGTGTTGCTCTTTGTTCTCCTTGCTGGAGAGGAAGCTTTACCTGAGGACATGCAGTGCAAGGATCTCCCTGCTTCTGTTTCATCATTCTTTGGATCTTTATGTCTTTGCTTGAGAGGGCAAATCAATAGTCACCAGTGTTGCCTCCTCCTCTCCTGCAGATTCTTGTATATTATTCTTGCAATTATCAGTACATCAGTCAATAGGATATGAGCCTAACATAAAAAAGCAAAGTCCTGATCTTCTACTGTGTTGGGCACCTCCTCACATATATACAGTACAGTAGAAGGCATGGTACATCAGTAATGGGGAAAGACCAGCTACAGAGAGCATATAAGCAATACTGGTGAGTTTGTCCTCTGTTTATCCTATGGACTTTCACAACTTCCACTGTTCAAGTCCTTTTTAAAAAGCCAGATGCCTAGTGAGAGGTGTCCTAGCTGGAACTGGTATAATGTGCTTTTCATCTGTAAAGGAGCCTTCTAGTACCCATACCTCCCAACTGGGAGACAAGAGACACCTATTAGAGAAAATATATTGGCTTAAGAAGCACCCCCTGCTATGCCCCCTTAAAGGAGAATTACAAAAAAGATTGGGTAAGCCCACAAACTCTTTTTTTTAAACCACTACTATTCCTTTACATGGGCTTTTGAAATATACAAATGCAACAATTTAGGTTTTGGATGAAATGTTTAGCTCTGTGAAACACTTTTTTGATAGATAAATAGTGCAATTTATATACAACAATATAGATCAGACCAAAATGAGGGACAAAAGAAAGGACAAAGGGACTTTGTTCCAAATAAAATACAGTCCCTGTAAATCAGGCACAGTTGGGGGCTATGAGTACATGTATATGGTTACAATGACTATGACAATTGTTACATTATTAGCACAAAAACCTGTAAATACATTAAGTCACTGAAAGCTAAATATAGGACATTTTAGATCCTGTCTGTAGAAGGCCATTATTAAATCACATGTATGAAATCCTCTGTTGTTTTTTTTTTCAGAGAGAATATATTCCAGTATACAAACCTGTAATAACACCTCCAACCACAGAGATGCCAAATGTTGCAGCCAAAGCGGCTCCTTGCAGGAGTGGAGTAAACCTACAAGGCAGAAAAAGAAAATGGATTATCGGCGCAGAGTCAGGGTCAAGAATATTACTAGATTTCAGTCAGAAGAGAGTTAATACCCCTGCCAGTTTATTTTTTTGCTTTTCCCATTGGGGAGATTTTCCTTCAATTCCTGTTCCAGAGAAGCAACAGGAAATGAGAGGAAAGTTCTACAAAATGAGCGAAATCACCTCATCGGCCTATTTTATAATTGTGGCCCGGGGGGGGGGTAGTAAAAAATTGGCGGTCAAGTTATAGGTTTACCACCGGAAGCAGGCACCAGTGTAGCATTACCCCTGAAGGAGCCGCTGAGAATTAATAGGTTCTTTCTATGTGATGCAATGGCTGCCAGTCACACAAGCAATAGTCCATTCACTCTGGCTTCATTAAAAAAAAGTCTAGGGAATGTCTTTTTTAAGACACCCTTCTCATGGTAAAAGTAGCACAGTCTAGCTCTCACAACAGGGAACCATGAGGTAGTTTACAGAACATTCTATTTTCTCATAGCTGGGGACCATGAGGTAGCTCCAAATTAGTTAAGGTGTTATAGATAGGGAATCATAAATCAACCACCTCCTTATTACTATAAATACCCTCTAACACAATCAACACCTTCCCCTGAAAGTGTACCAAATTATATAAGTGACAGTGTTATTAACAAATACTCCAAAAAATCATACTACAATCACCTTAATCCCCAATTTTTTTCCCAAATTATATAAATCCACTACCAATATAAAGTCCACTACAATTCTTTTGTAAGTTCACTAAAACATTCCATCAATTCTTCCAACGGTATTCATAAACAGTCCACCTCAAAGAAAAGAGAACTCATATAGTGCATTGATTTATTGTTTTATTTCTAATTTTTGACTAATTTTTATAAAAAATATTTTAATTTTATTGAATGCGTTTTATGACACTTTTAGAGGTATAGATGGAATAATATGTGCATATTTATGCACGTTGATTAGAGAGTAATAAATAAATAAAAAAATAGAGATACATTTTAATAAAAGATCAATAGGATAATGAATTAGGAAGTATCCATTGGGTGGAATGCATATTATATTGATAGCCCGTAATATTTTATTTATGAATTATGATCTATTTATGATGGTACAATTGGGAGGTTAATTTTAGTTATTTTATATAATTTTAATAGTAGGGATTTTTATATTTATGTAGAGTTCTTCCTTAATAATTAGGTTTGATTAAAGTAATTTTAGATGGGTAGTTGTTTAGAGAAAAAGGACCCTAATCCACTATAATAATATATTTATATTGAGGTTATGTTATAAAAGGAAAGTCATTGTATATAATACTATTCAGAATGTGTATATATGTATCCAAGAGACTAGGTGATTGAGGTTTTAGGGGTTAATGGTATAATTTTTATGTATCAAGTAATAATTATGTTGTTATATATTTTATAGATTGCTAATGAAAATTATGGGGTAGAGTTTTATAGTATGTCATTTTGGTGGACGTTTTGTGTATCAGATAACATATGCCGGATCAGTTGTAAGCAGTTACCGGACATTACTGGCATTGCTCCCATCTCCAATATGGCAGCGAGTGCCTCGGCGCCATGATGAGGGGTTTAAATAGAATTCTGTTGCTTGACGGTCACACCCCCCCTTATGACTAAGTCGATGACGAAACGCGTCAAGGTGGAGTGACGTCGAGACGTTTTTTCCCGGAAACCGGAAGTTACCTGGTGGCCATTTTGGATAAGGGAGAGATCGAGCAGGTGCACCTGGACGTTTTTCCCTGGATGACCGTGAGATTCCTATACTTCCTGTACTCCCTCTAATGCGATTTTAAAGCTTTGGCAATGTGAGCAGTTTCAAATAAAGTGCATGTTGTTAACTTTTATTGGCAGTATCACACTATGTCCTGTATGTTTTTTTGGAGACACTGTGAGCAGAGTGTCTGAGGAATCCAGAGAGTGAGGTGGCTGCAGGATACAGCAGAGGTTCCTAAGCGGTTCAGCCTGTGGAGTTTCTGGATTACTTTAAAGCCTATTATATTGGGAAAGTTGGTAAGGGTACCCTTACTGCATTTAGAAGTGTACACTTTTTGAATTGGAGTTTTTGCGATGTGGCACTAAAATAGTGTTATATACACCGATGTGTTTTTCACTGATCATGTTTGGTTCACGTTTTTTTCACCATTTTTCACCTATATTCACTGTAGGAAGTATAGAAAAAGTTTTTTTACATATATAATTTTATAAAGGATAATGCACTATATGAGTTCTCTTTTCTTTGAGGTGGACTGTTTATGAATATCGTTGGAAGAATTTATGGGATGTTTTAGTGAACTTACAAAAGAATTGTAGTGGACTTTATATATTGGTAGTGGATTTATATAATTTGGGAAAAAAATTTGGGGATTAAGGTGATTGTAGTATAATGTTATAGATAGGGGCCATGAGATAGCTCTAGAATAGTTAAAGTTTCATAACTGGGGGCCATGAGGCAGCTGCTGAATAGCTAAAGTCTCATAACTGGGGGCCATGAGGCAGCTGCTGAATAGCTAAAGTCTCATAACTGGGGACCATGAGGTAGCTTCCAAATAGCTAAAGTCTCATAACTGGGGACCATGAGGTAGCTCCCAAATAGTTAAAGTCTCATAACTGGGGACCATGAGGTAGCTTCCAAATAGCTAAAGTCTCATAACTGGGACCATGAGGTAGCTCCCAAATAGCTAAAGTCTCATAACTGGGGACCATGAGGTAGCTTCCAAATAGCTAAAGTCTCATAACTGGGGACCATGAGGTAGCTCCCAAATAGTTAAAGTCTCATAACTGGGGACCATGAGGTAGATTCCAATTAATTAAAGTCTCATAACTGGGGACCGTGAGGTAGCACCAGAATAGTTAAAGTCTCATAGCTGGGGACCATGAGATACTGTATGTCTCTGCAAGGGAGTCAGCCAGATTCTCTACCCACAAGTCCTAAAGCAGCCACCTCCTCAGACTCTATCCTTTGATAGAGAGGTCCAGTATTCAGTCCAGAGATGCTGCAGAGGCAAGCAGCCCCCTGAAGCTTACAGACCTATCCCTCCCAGGAAAAAAAAAAACAGAAAAAATCCTCAAAACTTCAGGCTATTTACCACCTCCCAGACCACTTTCTGGGCACACTTCCCAGGGGATTGGCCTGGGCATTGTAAATATTTAGGCTGGTCATTTGAATTTTCAACTGCAAGCTCTGCAAGATTCTCACAGAGGTAGGAGGAAGGAAGCAGACAAACTCTCAGCCTGTGAAACTGTGACCAGACCAAATCAATCGATCACTGCTCCTCTGATACAGAGCAAGCCAAAAACTAAATTTACCTAGAATCCTATACTAGGAGGGCACAACACCAGGTATATTTTTATCTTCCAGGAGTCCAGCTTTGATAAATCTGCCTTGCTCTAAGTAGGAAAAATTGGGACAAAAGGGGCACTGTCCACGTGACTAGGGTAAAAACAAATATTACATGCTTGGAGTCATCAAAAAAATGTCATGCATAACAGTGCATTGTAAAATTGGGAAAGTCACTCACCCAGGTTTGGCTCCCAGTGCAGTGGCAACAACAGCAGCGATACCTCCCAGAATACCCGGCAAGCCATGCAAATTGTGCACACCACAAGTGTCTTGGATTCTCAGCTTGGAAGCGACAATTGGCTAAAAGACAAACATATGGTTATTCCACAATCTAGAGGAAGATACAATCCAGATATTAAAAAAGATTTTTCTTATTTTTTTAAATTGACACAGCATAAATATAATCTGTAATGGTTTACACTGTGGACACCTTAGGCAATTAAAGCATCCCCCCAAATTCAATAGGAAAATGAATACTAAAAGAATGATGGGTAAAAGACAGATCCATCAAAGTTCTGAAATGGGGCACACTATTCAGGCAATAACAAGGAGTTAAACTAACTAATATACATTGTACTAGATATTTTAGTTCTAGCATATATATATACTGTATATATATATATATATATATACAGTATATACAGTATCTCACAGAAGTGAGTACACCCCTCACATTTTTGTAAATATTTTATTCTATCTTTTCATGTGACAACACTGAGGAAATTACACTTTGCTACAATGTAAAGTAGTGAGTGTACAGCTTGTACAACAGTGTACATTTGCTGTCACCTCAAAATAAATCAACACCCAGCCATTAATGTCTAAACTGCTGGCAACAAAAGTGAGTATACCCGTAAGTGAAAATGTCCAAATATGACCCAGAGGGGTTTATTTACTAAAGCTGGAGAGTCCAAAATCAGACTCCCTTCTGCATAGAAACCAATCAGCTTCTAACCTCAGCTTGTTCAATGAAGCTTTGGCAATGAAACCTGGAAGCTGATTGGTTTCTATGCAGAAGTGAGTCTGATTTTGGACTCTCCAGCTTTAGTAAATAAACCCCAAAGTGTCAATATTTTGTGTGGCTACCATTAATTTCCAGCACAGCCTTAACCCTCTTGGGCATGGAGTTCACCAGAGCTTCACAGGTTGCCATTGGAGTTCTCTTCCACTCCTCCATGACGACATCACGGAGCTGGCAGATGTTAGAGACCTTGCGCTCCTCCACCTTACGTTTGAGGATGCCTCACAGATGCTCAATAGGGTTTAGGTCTGGAGATATGCTTGGCCAGTCTGTCACCTTTACCCTCAGCTTCTTTAGCAAGGCAGTGGTCGTCTTGGATGTGTTTTTGGGGTTGTTATCAAGTTGGAATACTGCCCTGTGGCCCAGTCTCTGAAGGGAGGGGATCATGCTCTACTTCAGTATGTCACAGTACATGTTGGCTTTCATGGTTCCCTCAATGAACTGTAACTTCCCCAGTGCTGGCAGCACTCATGCAGCCCCAGACTATGACACTCCCACCACCATGCTTGACTGTAGGCAAGACACACTTGTCTTTGTACTCCTCACCTGGTTGCTGCCACACACGCTTGACACCATCTGAACCAGATAAGTTTATCTTGGTCTCATCAGACCACAGGACATGGTTCCAGTAATCCATGTCCTTAGTCTGCTTGTCTTTAGTAACCTGTTTGCGGGCTTTCTTGTGCATCATATTTAGAAGAGGCTTCCTTCTGGGACAACAGCCATGCAGACCAATTTGATGCAGTGTGCGACGTATGGTCTGAGCACTGACAGGCTGATCCCCCACCCCTCCAACTTCTGCAGCAATGCTGGCAGCACTCATATGTCTATTTCCCAAAGACAACCTCTGGATATGACTCTGAGCACGTGCATTCAACTTCTTTGGTTGACCATGGCAAGTCCTGTTCTGAGTGGAACCTGTCTTGTTGAACCTCTGTATGGTCTTGGTGCCTGTGCTGCAGCTCAGTTTCAGGGTCTTGGCAATAATCTTCTTATAGCGTAGGCCATCTTTATGTAGAGCAACAATTTTTTTTTTCAGATCCTCAGAGAGTTCTTTGCCATGAGGTGCCATGTTGAACTTCCAGTGACCAGTATGAGAGAGTAATAACACCAACTTTAACACACCTGCTCCCCTTTCACACCTGAGACCTTGTAACACCCATGAGTCACATGACATCAGGGAGGGAAAATGGCTAATTGGGCCCAATTTGGACATTGTCACTTAGCGGTGTACTCTCTTTTGTTGCCAGCGGTTTAGACATTAACGGCTGTGTGTTGAGTTATTTTGAGGGGACAGCAAATTTACACTGTTATCCAAGCTGTACACTCACTACTTTACATTGTAGCAAAGTTTAATTTCTTCAGTGTTGTCACATGAAAAGATAGAATAAAATAGTTATAAAAATGTGAGGGGTGTACTGACTTCTGTGAGATACTGTGTGTATGTGTGTATATATATATATATAATCAGACAAGGGAGGACTGGACGGGGGATAATTTTCCCCCTGGACCAGTACTAATAAGATATGTTGAGCTGCTGGTCCTGAGTAGTGATGCCCGAATCTGTGAATAGGTTTGCAAATACCAAATCTGGTTTATTAAACTTGCATTTGAAATTACAGATGTAGTGCGATGTATTCCTTTATAGGTGATATTGTTTGTTTACAAACAGCAGACGGGATCTGTCATTTAGCAGCAGTAGCACTGGCACAGCTAAATGACAGATCACTGGCGGCCTCTGTAAACAAACTGACTAGAGATCCTAAAGGACGTAACTTGATCAATGATATCACTCAGGATCCCCTCTGGCTTATTTACATACAGAAGCAAGCAGGGATCTGCAATTTTTGTAATGGGATTGAAGGCAGGGCAACATGGTTGGTTGGCAGGTCATCTTGGCAGTATTTGCTCCTTAGTTAAAAGGGCCACTTGGTGGCATGTGCTCTTTAGTGCAAAGGCCTCCAGTCTTCAGCTGATTCCAGGTCTCACTCATTTAACACCAATAAATGTATTTTCATATTAAAGGGACAGTCATTTGGTTAAATGTTGTCATTTGATAGCCCATATCTTACTTTTTATAATCAGAGTGAAATCCTTTATGATCCAAATGAAAGAATTAAAAGAATGTGGAAATGTAGAAGGCTACACATGACAGTTTTAGGAGGGGACGAGTAAGAACTGTTTTTTCTTACAAGGTTTGCATTCAGGAACTTTTATTTACCATTAAGAACTTGAAGCCCAATGTGGAAATGATGCCAGCAATTAAACCAATTATCATTGCCCCAAATGGTCCAATATTCATATCAGCACATGTGCCCACAGCAACTCCTCCAGCCAAGGTGGCATTCTGAATGTGGACCTGTGTAAAACAAGTAGATAATAGAATGTTATAGAACAAATCCAAAAAAAACGGTAGAATTAATCACTAAATTGTTAACGCTATCCAAAACGAATGCAACTACAATAAAATCAGAAAGCCCACATGATCAGCATTGATCTGTGTATTATACAACATCATGCAGATTCAACAAGTCTCTTGTCCTTGATAGGATAGGCTGCCTTTTGTCACATGACTATGTGTGTATGTATAGTCAAAAAGCTGGCCATACAATATACAGCATAACAACTTACAGACCAATCACGTATCTGGTATGTCACTGGCCTTCAAGTGGTTGTACCGGGATGATGCCTGCAACTGCAGGCATCATCCAGGTACTGTCTTTTATAGCCGGTGGTTGGCTCTCTTGTAATTACAATCAGAGCAGCTAACTAGCTCAATCGCTATTACAAGCAGCGGGAGGGAATGTCCCCCCCACCCGCCGCCTTCCATGGCTTGCTTGGAATCTGTCGGTGAATGTGCCAGCAGGTCAGAGAGCCATAAAAATCTGGAATTGACTTTGATCAGCTGTCCACTATGGTAAACCAGAAGCAATGACCTGTCATCACTTCTAATTTACCCAGATGTCAACGGCTCCATTTTTAAAAACGTAAAAAGTATTCAAAAACACTAATATTGAACTATTGACTAATTGAATGCTTTTAAGAGGAGGGATTTGGGGTCCTGTCACCAGGGCTGCATCGAGGGGGACAGCCCATACACATATAAGGGGGCCTAGTCATCCTGAGGGGCCCGGGCCCCAACCAGGGCCTTTTGCCCTGCATGGGCAGACCTGCCAGGGTGCAGAGGAGGGTGGAGTGGTGGGCAGATCCCAGGTGTATGCAGGGAGTGGTTGGGGCCAACTGTCAGGCAGGCCCTGGACAGGAAGGGAAGTGTGCACCTGGCTGTGAGGGGTGGCTATGGCCAGGGGGTGCTGGTGGAGGGCCCCACAGAGGAGGAAGAGGAGGAGGTCAGGGTGGAGGAGCCCCTCCATTTTTTGTTTCAGCTGTCACCAGAGATCCTGGTGGAGATGGGACACATGCTCAGCTACTCCTCCTGGCACCAGATAACACCATCTGGAGGAGCCACTACAGAGCTGGTGAGATCTGGGAGGATAGGTGCTTCCCAAAGTGTGTGTGATCAGAGTGACACTGTCACCTCCTGTGACACTGCCCTCCTCCCGTCCCACTGCCCCCTCCTGTGACACTGCCCCCTCCTTCCCCACCTGTCCCCCTCCCATCTTGCTGCACTCCTCCTATAACGCTGTCCCTCACCTGTCCTATTTCCCAACTCCTGTCTCCCAGCCCCCTCCTGTCACACTGTCCCCATCTGTTCCACTGCCCCCCACCTGTCACACAGCTTCCCTGCTGTGGGGGATGGGACTGTAGGAGGAGGACATTGGATGGAGGAGATGGGACCATAGGAGGAGGGCATGGTATTGAGGAGATGGGACTGGAGAAGGAAGGCATAGGATGGAGGAGATGGGACTGCAGGAGGAGGAGGATTTGGGATGGAGGATATGGGACTGGAGAAGGAGGGCATAGGATGAAGGAGATGGGACTGCAGGAGGAGGAGGACATGGGATGGATGAGATAAGACTGGAGGAGGACACAGGATGGAGGACATGGGATGGAGGAGGAGGACATGAGATGGGGGAGATGGGATTGAAAGAGGAGGACATAGGATGGAGAAGGAGGAAACATCTCCAGTACATGTGCACCTGCTCTCAGTGGATGGCTTGCCACTAAGAGAGCCATGCTGTGGCCATGACTCCTGTGCGCATGCACGGCAGTGACATCATCGCAGCTCAGCCAGTCAAACAGCTGAAGCCTGCAAGCCCGGAAAGAAGACCAGGTGAAGATGAAGGCACCTACAACGGTGACAGCGCGCCACTGGAGGGCTTCATTCTAAGGTAAGTCTTTCATAATGAGCTAGTATGAGATGTATACTAGCACGTTATGCTATTATTTTGCAAGGAACATTTTAGGGGATTTTATTCTTTTTGTGGTTTACTACCGATTTAATGGAAAACTGATTAAAATTAAGCACAATTTAAAAAATATATATATTTCTGATTTTTGAAAGCCGAAGTGAAAAAAGTCAACTATGAACAAAAGTTATGGCCCCACGTTAAATGAGAACACTGGTTAACACAAAACTCACCAGAAACCTAACACATTCTTAAGCTATGGCTCTCCTGGAATAGGATGTTGAGAACAACAGTTTTGTACTTTTATCCAACCATTCAGATGTCATCAAGCAAGCTGCACAAAATATTAAACACTTGGATGGGTATCTATATAAAATTTGTGTAGGCTCTGCTACTCCAGTGATCCCCACTAGTTTCCTATGCCCTGCTGCGTATTGAACACAGAATGTTACTCTTGCAGACAACACTTTGTAAGAATGCTTTCTGATAGGACCAGGTGGAGATTGTGACATCACCACCCCATCTCTCTACCTTGTCCAATTAGAGGACGCCTTGCATTCATTGAAAAAATCCAAGGCATCCTGTGATTGGCACCCATGCCAAGTAAGCAACTTCCTCTGTCCACAATACAGCAGGGCAGACCCAGAAGCTAGTGGAGATCACTGGAGTAGCAGTGCCTACTTCACTGATTTTTAGCCTCCATGGGGATCCCACAGGTGTGGTACATACAGTCCTAGCTGGACCAATATAACTATGTAAAACTTGCCATACCTAGACTTCAGTTCTGGTAAATCTATCTCTTTATTTCCTCTAATCAGTGGAGCAGTGTGTGATTCGTTTTGGCTGTTCTGGTTCTCATGGCTGCAGGCTCAACTGCTTCCCCCTGCCTTCTAGTGGATTCCAGATTGTAGTGGGTTGGAAGAGATAGACCCTCAGCCTGACTATTTATGTGGTCTCAGACAATCCCTGGGGGAAGGAGTGTCCAGTAGGTGGCTGGGTAGTGCATAAATAGTCAGGAGCCTGGAGCAGCATGGTTCTTGTCCAGGAGGAGAAGATCCTAGCCTGAGGGACTGCTGCCCTTCTGGGCAGTGTAGTCAAAGTCTGTAGGAGTTCACCGAGGTTCCAGCTCAGAGAAAGCTAGGGGGCCTATTTCCTGGAAATAGCTGGAGCAAAATCAAGGGGTTTCACTGAGGATCTGGCCTGGAAATTCATGGGAGATGTATTTGGCTGGACCAAGGCATCCATGTATACAGGGACATTGTGAGTACAGGCCTAAGTGTGGGATCCTAGTGACTGTTCGCTGCTCTAACCCTCGGAGCATCTGCTCCAGTGCTGCTGAATTAAGATATTTCCTTTGCTTGAAGTCTCAGGGTTCCTTTATCCTTCTATTGTCTGCCAAGAGGGAAATTATCCTGATGAATGTAGACAAGGCAGAGAGTGCCCTCTGATTTCTTTGTGCACTGAATTCGAAGTATCCCAAAGCCCACCCTGCACTCCAATGAGCATTAAATAATAAAAAGACATCCCCTGCCTAGTTATTGAATTGTGAGAATGTCAAAGTTATTGTGTGCTTAGCTTCTTGTGCATTCATTTGAGAAAAGAACCTGGGGCTAATCTGTGGGTCCTGTCAGGGGTCTGCGCTACACATGGCAGCCAGAGGGCTTGCTATACAAGCTGTGGTGAAGATCCTCTGCTTCACTTTGCTTCAGGACCTTCAGCAAAGATTATACTACAGGTTGAGTTCAGCAGGCAGCACCTCCTCCAAACACAGCCCATCCAAGTGAATGGGGCCGCGCCGCAGCCACCCTCTAGCGGTGTGTAATGTACGTGGTGCTGCAGCCTTTCAAGGGTTCAAACATGCATCCCAGAGTTGACACATAGCCTCCTCTGAGCCACATGTCAACAGCCTCTAAAAAGTGATCCACTGTGGATCATTTTTCAGAGGAGCTGCTTTGGTTACTTATTTCAAAATGTTAATAACATTCACATATCAGCACTACACAGTACTACGTCTTTATTTATACTGAGATAAAATTCTATGGTTTTTGTTCTTTGCTTGCAAATGTAATACAGTATCAAAAAAAGCCACACCCCCAACATGATTTAGCCACACCCAGTTCTCTCTGCATCGCTTGCCACTTCCTTAACACCCTATATAAACTGTTTTCTCGGGTTGGTGTCTTTGGATCATGCCTTGCTCTTTCTTACCATATCAAACTTTCCTTTGTGTTCCACCAAGCTGGAGAAGGCATAGGCAGTCAGTACACAGGCAGCCAATGAGAAGTATGTGTTAATTATGGCCATTTCCTGCTCTGCTCCATGGTTGGCAATGGCCGAATTGAAACTTGGCCAGAACATCCACAAAAATAGAGTCCCTGTAAATATGACAAGATGGTAAACAATCATTTATGTAAGTTCATTAGGTATTTCAATATTTTAATCCACAGCTGCATAGAGAGGTGAGGGAGGAGAAACAGCAGTACAATGATCTTCCTAGTGAATTGCTGTGCAGGAAGAGGGGGGGGGGGCGGACAAGTCTGATCATTGGAGGAGAGCAGGCTGGATTCTCAGTACAGATAGAGAACTAACCACACTGTGCTCTCATGCCTAGTAGGGTCAGTTTTTAATAGGAAAGCAGAGGGACTGGCAGGAATACCAGGGATTAAACACAAAGGAAGCAATACAAAGAGAACAAGATACATTTTCATACAAGTACATGGTACAGCAGGCACATATAAGGATTATGAAATGTTGGGTTTACATATTTTTTAAAATAATACCTGGTGTTCTTTTTTAAATGCCGCTTTATGCATTGACATACCTCCATAGACCCTGTCTGTCCAGACAGTATGGTCACCTGCTGACTTGGCACTATGTACAGGCATCTGAACTCTTCAATAAGACACAGACATTGAATCCGAAACAATTTTACTTCAGCTAATTGTAGTACACAGGGTCTTCTTCCAGTCTTTTGAAGACTAAGACTTTTCTGAGTTCTGTTTGAAGTACTAACACTAACTGAGGGAATATGGAAGAAAAAGGGAGTGTCTGAACTACCTAGTCCTAAACAGGTGGGAAGGATAGAGGGATGCCAAATGACATAAGTAAACAATTTGTAGTGACCTAAAACTGCCACCAGATGTCAACATACATCAAACAAAAGCAACCCAATACAATTCAATACAACACAAGAAAAAAAACATATAAGTGGTGATCCTGCCATGAGTGTTCCTGTTCAGGCACTTGCTACTGGTCTCCTGCAGCCTCTTAGCAGTCATTTTTGTCTACATGCACTCAGATGATGGCTACATGGTATTTCTCATAGCAGGTCTTCTGATGGTGACAACAGTGAACAAGGTCTGTGCAATGTGTGTTGAAATGGCCATGTGTAATCTCCATAGGAATCGAGTTTATTTAACCAGTTCCTGCCTGGCCAATAGCAAAATGACAGCCAAGCGGGACTTTCGTCAGTCCAGATGGGCATCATATGACGTCCTCTTGGATTGCCACCTCACACGTGCCTGCGAGATCTGTCATCGGCTGTGTTCCTTTCATGCCATCCATTGTATCCAATTGTGTTGCTAGCTGTGATTGGTCACAGTGATCACATGGTACAGACTGGGCCAATCACAGCCCATCTGTGTCATATGGTTATCTGAGTATACAAAAAAAAAATACTGATCACTCCCCCAGAGTAGTACAGTGTTACTATGGTAACAGTATATTACTCTGGCCACTGTGTTTTATTTTTTTTTAAATTGTAAAAAAAAAGGAATTAAAATTTTTTTTTATATATATATATATATATATATATATATATATATATTTTTTTTTTTTTTTTTTTTTTCATACTGTCACCAGTGTGCCTGATCACCACTGCACCAATTATATGATGACATTGTACTGCACTGGCTGGTGACAGTATGTAAAAAAAATGATGAAAAATTTTTTTTTTCATTTCTATATTTTCCAAAAAAGTCTGATAAAAAATGACAACTTCAAAAAACTCACCATGCCTCTTACTAAATACCTTAGGCGGTCTACTTTCCAAAAAGGGGTACTATGCAGGATATCTGTATTGTCCTGACATTTGTTGGCCTCAAGAAATGAGATCGGCTGTCGGTACATCAGGATTAATTAATTTTCATATATATATATATATATATATATATATATATATATATACCATGGGTTGTGGACTCTATAACTTTCCTACAGATTGCATAATATATCACATTCCTACAGATTGCATAATATATCACATTCCTACAGATTGCATAATATATCACATTCCTACAGATTGTATAATATATAACTTTCCTACAGATTGCATAATATATCACTTTCCTACAGATTGCATAATATACACTGATTTGGGATGTTTTCACCAAAGAAATGTAGCAGAATACATCTTGGCCTAAATTCCTGAAGAACAATTATTTATTTTCAAGATTTTGTAACAGAAACAAAGAAAAACTTATTTTTTCACAATTTTCAGTGTTTTTTCACTTTTTTAACAAAAAATAAAACCCCCAGTGGTGATTAAATACCACCAAAAGAAAACTCTAGTTGTGTGAACAAAATGCTAAAAATTTAGCTTGGGTACAGTTTTGCACGTCTGTGCAATTGTCATTAAAAGTGTTAGAGCGCTGAAACCTGAAAATTGGCCTGGGCAGGAAGGGGGTAAAAGTACCTGGTATGGAAGTGGTTAAGATACACATTTGTATGCGTAGGGGACAGGGGCGAACTGACAACTCATGGGGCCCCCGGGCAATAGGGGGATCATGGGGCCCCTGTGTCCTTGCCCAAACTCAAAAAAGCCTATGAAAAAAGGTACCAGGGGCATCTCATGGGGCCCCCTACTGACCCCGGGCCCTCTGGGCAGCACCCGAGTTTCCAAATGGTCAGTCCGCCCCTGGTAGGGGATGATTTACTAACGGCAAATAGACTGTGCACTTTGCAAGTGCAGTTGCTTTAAAACTTAGTAAATGAAGGGAAGATCTGCTGACTTCCATCATCCAATTATGTGCAAGTAAAAATTGCTGTTTTTTTTATTTTTCTTGCACGTGATTGGATATTCTTTACAACGTGAAGCTTTGTCTCCTTTATTAAGCTCTGGAGCAATTGCACTTGCAAAGTCCACCATTTTTTTGCCTTTAGTAAATCAACCCCACAGTATTGCATAGCAGGTTAACATCCAGTTTAGTTAGGGTTAACATATACTTTCCAATTTTAGTATATGTCCTGCGGAAGCGAGGTTGGGGTTAACATATCCTTTAACCCTGTCTCTGCTGTATACAATGATTTGCAGCCGGATCCTACCTTAGGTTAACAGTATCAGATCATGTGGATGAACGAATGGATTGTAGAAGTGGTCAAAGAGAGACATCTAGTGGCTACATTGTATAACTATTCTATCAGTCTTTTTTGTTGGGATTGTTGGATTTTAATGTTCATTCACAACTTTTTTAGCCTTGAATGGGTCATAGGAGGGTTATGACCTCTCAAATTTAAATTGCTGGCTGTGTTGTCATTTGACCACAGTATCTATGAGATACATAAATATTAGTTTCCAATAGCCTGAGCCTTTAAAAGCAATCTGTCATTTTGCTCATTCAAGGCAGAGTGAGTAACTTTCTTTAAAGTGTTACTAAACCCAGCACTCTGCATTCACTATAACTCTCCAATACACAGAACATGGAAATGCAATTATTTTATTAATTATAAACTGATAAATGCCTTTTCTCATCTTCAGTTAGAGCAGTCTTGTGACTTCTATCAGTGTCTAGCTGAGCACTGGGTAAAGCTTGTTGGAGAAGTTTTTTTTCTGCTCTTGGAGGATGCAAAACCCGACCCTCTGTCTGGATAGTGCTCATTGGCTCTGTCCTGATCACATGCACTCTCCCAAGAAAAAAAAACTATCTAGCAATACACACTAAACTGAGCACGTGCATGTGGCTATGGGTTCAGTCTGTCTTATCAGGTGGACATCTGAGCAAGAAGAGGATCAGAGGATCAGAGAAGACAGGATCAAACAGCCTTTTTACACAATGCGGAGGATTAACCCTTAAGGTTTCACAGTGAGTATAACAAGCATACTGCATATACAGACTGAATTTACTGTTGTGGGTTTAGTAACACTTCAGGCTCACCAATCACCCCAATCTTAGTGATGCCCCCTCCCCGGTCACATGATGCACAGGGTTTTTTCTGCATCTTCTCCTGCTTGTGGACAGTGTTTAACCACTTGACCTCCAGAGGATTTACCCCCCTTAATGACCAGGCTTTTCTTTGCTACTCGGCGCTGCACTAATTCAACTGATAATTGCGCAATCATGCAATGCTGCACCCAAACAAAATTTACGTCCTTTTTTTCACACAAATAGAGCTTTCTTTTGGTGTAATTTGATCACCTGTGCACTTTTTATTTTTCACGCTATAAACAAAAAAAGGCCAAACATTTTGAAGAAAAACAATATTTTTTACTTTCAGCTATAAAAAATATATAGTAAACTCAAAGTTGGTTATAAATTTAGGCCAAAATGTATTCTGCTACATGTTTTTGGTAAAAAAAAATCCCAATAAGTGTATATTGATTGCTTTGTGTGGAAGTTATAGCGTTTACAAACTATGGTATAAATACTGCAATTTACGCCATTTTTTCTGCTATACAGCGCTGCACAAGTTTAACGGACAATTGCGCGGTCATGCAATACGGTACATAAATGAAATTTACATCCTTTTTTTCCCACAAATTGAGCTTTCTTTCGGTGGTATTTGATTGCCTGTGCGGTTTTTATTTTTTGCGCTATAAAAAAAAAAGGCTGAAAATTTTGAGGAAAAAAAACAATATTTTGGACTTTTTGCTATAAAACATGTCCAGTAAAAAAAAATGCAAAAATCAAATTTAGTCATAAATTTCTGCCAAAATGCATTCTGCGACATGTCTTTTCTAAAAAAAAAAACCAATATGTGTAAATTAATTGGTTTACGTTAAAGTTATAGCGTTTACAAATGGCGGGAAAGATACTGGGATTTTTATTTTTTTTTTTATACTAATAATGGCGGTGATCAGCAAATTATGGCGGCGATCAGGGACTTATGGCAGCGACCAGCGACTTATGGCAGGACTGCGGAACTGCGGCGGACATTCTGACATTGGGGGGTACTGACTGACTTGGGGTCACTGACATCCCCAAAAACACTAATACAGTGATCAGTGCAAAAAAAAAAACACTGACACTGTACTAATGGCAATGGGGAGGAAGGGGTTAACTTTATTTTGCAGGAAAGGGTTATAGGAGTGAGGGGAGTGTTTTACTAGGGGGCGGGGGTGTGTGCTGGAAGGGACAAGGCTGATCGAGAAAGAGAAACTGTTCTTTCTCGATCAGCTCATCCTCGAGCTGACAGGGAAGTGACAGACAGCACAGCTACTGCAGCTGTGCTGTTTGTCACTGTTTGCCGCCGATCGTCAGGAGATAGCCGGTAAGGACCGGCTGTGACCCAGCGACTCACATCTGCGGCGGTGATCGGCGCGCCCCCTAGCTGTTTACAAAACACACATTTTAAAACGTGGTTTTGCCTGCCAGTGCCGCCCTGCCACCGTATATCTACAGTGGCAGAGCGGCAAGAGGTTAATGATGCAGACAATGGTGCCGACATCAACACTGTTGTGTTCCCTCCTTATTCTGTGTGTAAGATGATAATGTCTCCTCAGGGGCGGGTCAATGACACACTGTACTCACAATATGTCCTTACTCTTGCCAGCTGAATAACAGTGGGTGTCATTCAACATGGAGGAGTGAGGACATCTAGTGGCTAAAAAAAAATGACTGTGGGTAGCACAATCCGTGAGGAAGTATTACTGCCAGATCTTCCTTTTTATGTTCAGCCCCTGCTGGGGAATTTTCTAAAAAATACTTTTTAACCTCTTGCTGCCCACATAATGCTTCAATGTTTATGCCTGGGGGGGTCAGGAAAGATTGGCTGATAACATGACCACTGTGGTTGGCTGTGAGAGAGCGCTCACTTCAAGCTCCCAGCACAGTGACCCAGCTGTCAAAGACAGCTCTCGGTCCACACAAATGATCAGGAGTTGTTGGGACAGCCAACCACAGTGGTCATGTTATCAGCCAATCTTTCCTGACTCCCCGGGCATATAAATCCTATTAAAGGGATGCTGAAGGCTGGGTGGGAAGGGGTAAAGGCGTAGCCTAGTTCAGACAAATGAATTAATAGAAACCAAACAGCCACAGCACTGAAAATTCAAGACACTAGTTAACCACTAGTTCAGCACCGAAAGGATTTACCCCCTTCCTGACCAAGCCATTTTTTGCTATTTAGCACTGCGCTATGTACCTAGTAATTGCACGGTCATGCAATGCTGTACCCAAACATGTGTATTTATTATATAAACAAAAAAAAAGCCAAAAAATGTTTACTTATTGTTAAAAAACATATCCAATAAAAAATTTAAAAAAAAATCAAATTTCTTGATAAATTTAGGCCAAAATGTATTCTGCTACAAGTCTTTGTTAATAAAAATCCCCATGAGTGTATATATATTAGTTTGTGTGAAAGGTATAGCATCTACAAACAATGGTATATACTGTATAATGGATTTTTTTTTTTTATACTACTAACGGCGGTGATCAGAGAATTAAAGTGGGACTGTGATAGTGCAGTGGACAATCTGACACTACCTGACACTGGGTAAAAAACTGACTATAGTAGAGAACAAAAGAAAAGAGTGCACAAACCTTGAGCATTACCTCAGTAAACAGTTCATGCATTTATTGATAAATTATACCAACACAGGGTTAGAAGACACGTGTGAGTTCCATCCGGAAAGGAGATAAACTCTTGGTCAAGCTGACGCGTTTCGAAGGGGGTCCCTTCTTCCTCAGAGCTAGTCACAAAGAGATAAGTCACCCCTCAATATAGTGTTGCTCTATCGCAGGGCCTGCCCTCACAAATGGGATGGCCTCATTTGGGGGGGTTTTGGGGCTAAATGTGTCAGCTTGACCAAGAGTTTATCTCTCTTCCGGATGGAACTCGCACGTGTCTTCTAACCCTGTGTTGGTTTTGGATGTTTACAAATATATGTAAAAAAAATACTTTGTTAAAAAAAACCCTGAAGAATACATGTAAAAACTATATATTTTTAAAAATATATATTTTTTAAATATATTCTTCAGATTTTTTTAACATATAAAATCAATTTAACATATATTTTTACATATATTTGTAAATGCATTCCAAAAGTGTAAATTTGTATTTTTAAAGACATACAGTATATTTGAAATTTATTTTTAAAAATATTTTTCATACATTTTGTAATAAAAACGTCTTTCAACATACAGTATATATATATATATATATATATATTTTATTTTTGAATACGGCCAAAATTGTAGCATTTCAAATATATGGCAATATATTGGGGAAGAATATTTTAAAAATATGTTTCAAATATATTTTTCTTCAATATGGGTGGGACCTCGGAACCCTATTACGGGACCAAGGGGTCAGAGAGGAAGTTAGCCATGAGATTCATATTTTCAGAAATAAATCATGTTTATCCTCCAACACTGCTGCCAATTTTAATTGATCATGATATCATTTAGTTGGGGTTTCAACCTCCTGAACGTTTGTAAGCAGGTGAAATGTGTTTTCTCCACAGCAGGTGGCACTCAAATTGAGTGGCACCTCTGCCTGGAGAGGAAGCCCAAGAGAAACAACATTTCTCTATGGTTTCCTGTGTCAATGGATTGTTCCGGTTGGCTACACTGCGCCCATGAGACCCTCTATATAATGATCTATATAAGTCCATGCCCCCAGGTTTTGAGGCTCTTCTGGCATGTGGCTAGTCTAGGGAGAAAGACCCTGCTTGTTCGAGAAAGTAGCTAGTGGTAGGGAAAGATTCCTAATGAGGAGGGAAAGATTAGGGACTTGTTGTCCTGGAAAGGAACCTCCCTCTCGGGACCGGACTGGCCAGTCCGTGCTTCACCTTCTGAAACAGACGCTGTCGGTACATCTCCTCCTCTGCATTGAACTGTGAGTTATTTCCCTAGCGATGCTCTCTTGTCTGGGTGTTGGCATTCTCTTTAACCACTTGCCGCCCGCCTGCTGTTTTTAAACTGCAGGGAGGTGGCACTCCAGGGGCGGGTTGCCGTTCATAAACGGCACCCGCTATTTCTAGTTGTGCATGCTCCCTGGAAGCGCGCAGCACCGTGATCTGGTGCCCGCTGTGTCCTCCGGACACAGTGAAACACCGATCGTCGAACGGGACCTCTGTACGAGGTCCCGATCATGTGATCACTGATTGGCCAATCAGTGATCACATGCAAAGTAGTAAGCAAGATGTCACTTGTGACATCATTGCTTACTACGTGTGAAATCTGTGAATGATAACAGAGGTCACATGGTACAAGGCTATTCACAACAGCCTTGTACCATGTGACAAGCTCTGACCAATCACAGTTCACACAGTATTTCTTAATGACTGCAAGAATGCAGACAGAGAGAAAGAGAAATGATTGCTTTTAAATCCTATATGGGTGTAAAAGCAATCACTGTAAAAAAAAAAATCTTCATCAACCCCCACAAGTAGTACAGTGTCACCATGGTGACACCGTACTGATAGGGTGACGGTATGTAAAAAAAAAAAACATAAATAATAATATAAAAAAATAAAATAAAAATGTAAAAAAAATGTTTAAGAATTATAATTTTTGGTTATAAACTAATTTGGCGTATTTTCTTTTTTTTACTAAAAAGATAACGGAATAAATTTTGGCTAAGATTTTTGATGAAATATTATTTAATGCAAAATTTTATAAGAAAAACACTTTTTTCAAAATTTTTGGACTTTTTCATTTATATAGCAAAAAAAATAAAAAATCCCAGTGGTGAATAAATACGACCAAAATAAAGCTTTATCTGTTTCAAAAAAATGGTAAAAAATTCATATGGGTACAGTGTTGCATGACCGCGCAATTGTCATTCAAAGTGTGATGGTGCTGAAAGCTGAAAATTGCCCTGGACAGGAAGGAGGTAAAAGTGTCCGCACAGGAAGTGGTTAATACAAGTTCCAAGTTTTACCTCAACCAGATTCTGTGTAATTACTGCCCACACCACACTGTACCTCCCCACACATTCAAGGAGGGGGATCTCCAGGAGCGGGCAATAGTTTACTTGGTGGCACTAAAAATGAAAACAACTCATTTTGCTATTTTATGACATATAGCCCTTATTCAGCAAAACTTCAACTTGGTCTTAATTAAAAAGCATGTTTTTTATGCCTCTGAACACAGTTCCATTTCTGCCAACGTATTCATGCACATTGTCACTTTTTTAGAACGGCATTCATTAAAAATGCCCAAACCTGCATTCAGAGAGGAGCCTACTGGCATAATGTATGCACATTCCTGCATATATGCCCACAATCATGCGTATGCACTTGTATTCATTCCACTGGATAGAATAGATGAATACTCTGGTCAATAGAATGAATTGACGCCAGGGCGGACTGTCCTTGCCCACACTCAAAAAAAAAATGAAAATAACCAAGGGCATCTCATGGGGCCCCCTACTGACCCCGAGCCCTCGGGCAGTGCCCAAGTTCCCAAATGGTCAGTCCGCCCCTGGTTTACGCTCATACGCTTCTAAATGCCATACATATGTAAATGTGCGGAAATCTGCCACAAAATGAACAGTTCTAGCCCTTGGGTTTTCAAGGGTAGATCCAGATCCGGCATAGGCATTCATCCACTGAAAAAAAAGACTGCAATAATCACAATATTTCCCTGGTTTAGTTCAGGCAATATCACAAAGTTATATCACAGGACAGATTGAAGCAAACAAACTGGATCTCTTACCAATCATGGCAAACAGGTCTGAGTGGTAGACCGATCCTTCGTTATCATGGCCCTTCTTCAGACCAGGGCGATACAGGACTGCTGATGCAGCCAAACCAAAGTAAGCTCCAAAAGTGTGGATGGTCATGGATGCCCCAATATCGGTGGCCTGTGAAACACAAGAAGCCACTGAAAACTAGGCTGCATATGTTTAATGGAGAAAAATACGTGTAGACATACTCTAGGTTCTTCCTCTTATGGGTTCACTTTGACAGTATGATATCTCCTACCGTGTCTAAAACCCAAGACTGTTAGAGCCTACTGAATTTTAGAACTCTATTGATCGACTTCAGTACAACCAGCCTGTTGGGGTTTTCAATGAGATCACTGCCGGCGGCTATGGCCGCCAGCAGTGATCATTGTATTCTGCCGGTGCGGAAGAATCCCTGCACTCCTCCAGGCTGGCAGAACACAATAGAGCTGTGGAAGACACTGCCTGTGTTGACTAGGAATCAAGAAATTTTCTTTCCTTCAACCAGTGGTTGAAGGAAAGAAAATTGCATTATGTATAGCCAGCCTAATGTAGGCCATAGACGGTTCGTTTATCAGCCGATTTTTCATCCGAAAGAATAAATCGGCCGATTTTCGCACTGTTAGTGGGGCAATGGCATTGGCTGATTTTCGCGGTTCCTCCTCATTTCGTTTATCGGTCATGCTGGAAAATTTGTGAAAAACGGTCGATTTTCGCAATCATTGGTGGCAACATCAGTTTACAGAACGAACGATGTTTTGTTTTTTTATATGAAAAATCGTTTCGATAAACGAACCGTCTATGGCCTGCATTAGCCTTACAAAAAGAAATTTAATGCGACAACAACATCTAAGGATTGCTAAACTGCCATATGTTTTTTTTTTGTTTGTTGGTTTCTGGAATTAGATATCACTTACAGTATCAAAATTAAACCCCAAATGGCAAATATTTATATTACAGCTTACCAATGCTTAGATGTGACGGCTGCATTAGTTTTCCTTTTTTAGGGTTTCTTTCTTTTATTTTTACCTGGTGATCCACCCAGTATGTAAATGTTTTTTCAAAAGAACAAGCTGTCCAGCATATGTAGCAGTTAGGGGGTTGAGACAAACCATTTAACACTGATAGGGTTGCTTACAATGATCAGCTTTTATTTATTTCTTGATATCGATTACTAAAATTATTGATTGTAATCATTATCCCAAAGGAAAAAAATATTTGCTGTAACTGCTGGTAAAGAATTGGCTGGAGTTTAACTTCAAATTTTTAGTGTATTTAAATCTGCTAGTTCATCTAATACTCCCCTCCCCCCAGACTGACATTGACACCTAAGCGTTTTCTGCAGGGTTTTGCAGAAAACGCAGTTCAGTCCGTTTAACATGATTTCCTATGTGACACGGTCATAGTTGTGCATTTTCACCGGGTGCATTTTTTGGAAAGGGTCAGGGACGTTGCTTTTTTGGTTCTATAGACTTTAATGGAAACGCTGCAGAAAAGCATGTATTGCGTTTTTGGCGCGTTTTGGATGAGTTTTGTATTTTAACTCTGCCTGGCAACAAGAAAAATAAAAAAACCGTGGCAAAAACGCAAGTGCAAAAACGCAAAACGCAATGCAGAAACAGCTCAAACACAACCTGCATAGGTGTGAACCTTGGGTAAAGGTGCCCCCTGCCCTCCTTCATCCAGAGTGGAGGCACTCTAATACAGGAGGTGTGTTACTGTCCAGCTCTCCAGAAGGAAGGAAACCTACAAAAAGAAAACTAATGCAGCCGCCACATCGAATGATTGATAAGCTGCAATATATAACATTTTTGGTTTGGGATTTAAAACCGCTTTCATTTCCAGTTATTACAACGGTGCCACATGCCAAAGCGGTAACCCCGAGCTACACTCGGGCCTACCATGCGGCGCTGCTCTGGGGGTCCCTACAGCACTTACCTTGTCCTTCGCTCCCACGATGTGTCCCCTGTAGCATCCCCGGCCATCTCCTCCGGCCGATGCCGGCATCCGGCTTCCGTGTTCCGGTCCCTGTGACATCGGGACGTACGGGCGCCGGAACCGGCGGGAAATTTGAAATTTTTTAAAAATGTCATTTTTGCTGTCTCAATGCATTTTACATATATTTTGTCCCTACTGCTTTGTCCTGTGCCCTGCCTGCATTTCGAATGTTCTTTCTGCCTGGAAACTTAGAAAAGTCCATGGAGTCCAAAAAGCGTCCCTTTACGTCAAAAGCGGTTATAGACCAGCTAGAGAACAGCGATAGTAAATCAGAACCACTTGCAGAATTGAGTGATAATGATTTGTGGGGAAATTCGTCATCAGACACTGAAAACGATTTTGCGACTTTGCTCAGCGATGTGCGAATTTGCCTCTGTATTTCAAATTTCAGTGTTTTTGGTTTGATTATATTATTGAATTAAATTTAATATTATTATATTATTATTTTTTATGATTATTTATTAAATTATAATTTATGATTTTGTGTTTCAAATTTTATCATACCCGGGATGTTTAATAGACTCTTGTTCGGACAGATTGCAGTGAGTTATTCCTAAAAATTACAGCCTACAATAAAAAACGACATATTTCCATGCAAAATAATGGTACCGCTTTTCAGCACAAAAAAATCGGAAAGAATCATACCACCGAGGAGGTTAATGTCAAATATCTTACTTTTGGTCAGGGGCGGACTGACAACTCATGGGGCCCCCGGGCAATAGGGGATCATGGGGCCCCTGTGTCCTTACCCAAACTCAAAAAAGCCTATGAAAAAGGTACCAGGGGCATCTCATGGGGCCCCCTACTGACCCTGGGCCCTCGAGCAGTGCCTGAGTTTCCAAATGGTCAGTCTGCCCCTGCTTTTGGTACAAGTATGGAAACTGCTACCTACATAGATCTTTGAAGGCAATAAATTTCAGCGAGATAAACCGTCACACATAAACTTACACCTAGAAATCCAACAAGATGCTCATTACATGCGAAGATGAAGATTTCTAGCACGGCCATTATTAACATCTGAAGAGGACTTGTTTTCCCCAGAACGGCTCCAAAGGAAATCAAAACAGTTGCTGTGCTGAAGTCGGCATTGATCATGCTGGAAAGAAAAGACAAGTTACTATTAGGAAAGAAGCAAAGGCATGTCACCGTTTGCAAGATGTCAAAACAGTGATGTATACAAGGACGCACAACAGTAACAGGCTTTTTCTTTAAATAGACCCAAAATCAAGAGTCCACTTCTATCTGTGCCTTAGTTTAATTTACAAATATCAAGCGTAGGCAAGCGCTGGAACTATAAAGCAGCTAGCACCAAGGTATAGGTAACAACTCCTTATGGATAAATATATAGAAAGTGCAGCACTAAAATAAGTGAATGATATTATAGTGAAAATAAAGTGCAAAGTCAATCTGACATATAGTGAGACAAAAAAAAAAATTGATCAGCGGAACAGTCAAGTGCAGCAGATAAAATCAAATATAAAAAGTGTTCAATAAATGTGAAATAGTAAAGTGCAGCATAAAAGTGAGAATATATAAAAGTCCATAAAATATCAGTGGATTAAGAGCTATAAATTGTCCATAAAGATATACGTACAGCAATCACGGTGAAATATTTAATTTATGTTTAAAATAATAGTGATTCATCTTGGGGTGACGTAGTTTTTACTTGTTTGAAACCTCTAAAATATATCCTTGGTCAAAATGTAAAATCATCTATCCATTTCCACATTGTATTTCAATCATTTCTGGCCTACTCCTATTAACCACCTGATTGCTGCACCATGGCCTACAGCGCGGCTGTCTTGTTCTAAGACGGCATCTAACAACGTCCTCCCGGAATGCGCCTCTTGGGCATTGGGTGAGCTCTGTGACCGCGGTGTCCTTTGTTTGTCAGATGCCTGCACCTCCCTGCTGCCTGCTGTGGTTCCAAACAATGACCACAAGGACATACTAATGATACAGCTGTTAATTGGTGGAACTACATCACACAGAAGGGGACACAGGTGAGTAATCCACATGAAAGTGTCAGATACTGGCTGGTGTAGCTTTGCAAGCTATTAAAGACTGTATTTATGGGTAGAGCTGGGATGGGGGGGCATGAGGGACAACTGCCCTGAGTGCACTACCATCATACCTCTGTACAAATCATTAGTAAGACCTCATCTGGAATATGCAGTTCAGTTTTGGGCACCAATTCACAAAAAGGATATCAGGGGACTGGAGAAAGTACAGAGAAGGGCAACCAAAATGATACGGGGCATGGAGGAGATCAGCTATGAGGAAAGATTAGAGGAACTGAATGTATTCTCTCTTGAGAAGAGGAGATTAAGGGGGGATATGATCAACATGTATAAATACATCAGTGGTTCATATAGTGAACTCGGTGTAGAGTTATTCACCCTGAGGTCATCACAGAGGACAAGGGGGCACTCTTTACATCTGGAGGAAAAGAGATTTAATCTCTAAACATGGAAAGATTTCTTCACAGTGAGAGCTGTGAAAATGTGGAATAGTCTCCCTCAAGAGTTGGTTCTGGCCAGCTCAGTGGATTGCTTTAAAAAGTCTTGGATTCTTTCTTAGATACACAGAATATAACTGGATATAACATTTATAGGTAAAGTTGATCCAGGGAATATCTGATTGCCTCTCGGGGGATCAGGAAGGAATTGTTTCCCCTGCAGGAGCAAATTGGATCATGCTTTGCTGGGTTTTTTTGCGTTCCTCTGGATCAACTGTGGGTGTAGGATTATAACTTTTTTTTTTGGTTGAGCTGGATGGACTTTTGTCTTTTTTCAGCCGGACTTAACTATGTGACTATGTGGGAGTGGGAGGCCACACTCACCAAACACTACAAGGTCATATCCTCTCTGACTGCCCTTGCTGTCACACTGTGTTCCAACATGCCCACTCTCTGCCCCAGTAGCCTACAGCTGACAGGAAAAACACAATGAGCATGTGCAACCACCTACCCGCTGTTAGAAAGCAAGTGATTGGCTGTGCATTCACAGTGCACACTCCATGTCAATCATTGGCAGTTGGAGCAAGGGGGACTGAGCATCCTTTCTATATCGTGTGTTAGAGGCATGCAAAGGTGCGAACAGTTCTGCAACCTCACCCTGTCCACTGGACAACCTAATCCTGGCACTGGTTACAAGCGGTGGCAGTGGTATTAGAAATGTATTTTTCTGGCTTTTTTAAAAAATAGTACAGTTTTTTTAAAAACATATTTTTTTCTTCCTGCCAGACAGCATAGCTAGGTTTCTGACCTCATCTTTCTCCACTACAGTAAAACAAATACAGCTGGATCACCAGCCCATTAAACTTGCTGACATTGGGGAGTGGTAGTATGCTGATGAGTTCATCACTCTTGTATGCAGGTTCATTGTGTTAGACTGACAGCACTGTGGAATGCAGCGGAGACTTGTTTACTCAGAGTTCTTCCCCTCCATCACTTATTGAAAATTTTATTGTACAAGGGATGGTAGCAGGGGTGGACTGACAACTCATAGAGTCCCTGGCAATGGGGGATCATGGGGCCCCTGTGTCCTTGCCCAAACTCAAAAAAGCCTCTGAAAAAGGTACCAGGGGCATCTCATGGGGCCCCATACTGACCCCGGGCCCTCGGGCAGTGCCCGAGTTTTCAAATGGTCAGTCCGCCCCTGGATGGGAGTTAATATCAACACAGATTTTGCTACTAATCATATAGAAAAGACCATTTTAAATATTTTTTAAATTCAACACCTGGATTAAAGTATAGCTAAAAGCGCCCCATCCTCCGAATTATTTTGCTTCCTACAAATAAAATACTGACTTTCCACTCTATTCACTAATAAAGTCCTTACGAGTTAGCTATCAATATTTGAGCACATTTGCCACCATACGCCTCTGTTTCCTAAGCTAATCTCTATTCTCTATTTCAGTTGAACAATTTCAACCATCATACCAACCACACTTGCATTTCCAAGGTGGAGAAGGACCTCCTGCAAACCAAGGATAGAAAGGACTGGCTGCAAATTTGGACCACGGTAGCCTCCTGCTCAGTTAGTGTAAGCACCATTGAGTCTGCATTCAAAACCATTAACAGATACTACATAGTCTACTCACACATTGCCCATCTTCAGCCATCTCATACTGCCTTGTGCTTTTGTGGCTGCCAAAATTCTGTCTTACATACCTGGTTGACCCATTCTCACATGGTTTTGCTCCAGGGTCCTGAAACTCATACATTCCTTGTTTAACCAGCCTTTTCCCAATGATCCATGTTACCATATTACACCTTAAAACCCCAAGATTTTACTAAACCCCAATTCAAACTGGTGGTCTGCATTCTGTTATTGGCAAAACAGCCTATTGCTAAAGCCTGGAAGAAACAATTTGTCTCCTTTGAGGAAGTTTGTCAACAATGGGTTCTTCATCAACGAGAAACTAACCAATATTCTACTGAACATTAAAAATATTTTTTTTTTCAGAAATGGACCCCATGGATATGATACACCCACCCATTACTGTCTGTGGAGAGTTATACCTCATTATAGGAGTCCAGCTTTGGGGTGCAGGTTTTGGACATCCTCAATCTTCTCCCCCCCTTCCTCCTTCTTATACTTTTCCCACTTCTATCTCCCTGTACCCTTTCCTCCCACATTCCTACAGTGCATATAATTCCTTCCTCTCTCCATGTCTCCTATAAATTAATTGCTGATCATCTCATTTGTTCAGACTTGCAGTTATGATCTGCCTATTGTTTTGCTGGCTCCCGTAGTATTACTTGGCCTATTGTTAGCTACTTTACCCTACAGGCTATATGTTTTGATTATTAACATGTTATTTATACTATTGTATTCTCTGCAGCTATGTTCTTACTGCCTAATATAGTCTTCGCTATTTCAAAACGTTTTCGTACGCTATGTTCTATATCTTATAATCTTTTTTTCAATAAAAAAATATTGAAAGTAAAGTATAGCTAAAAACAAAGCTTTTTTTTTTAGTTTTGGATAGAGTGGAGAGGGACACCTGTAAGGTTTGTATTTCAGTCTGTATTGCCCCTGTTAGAGAGATTCGCGTTTTGGGCAGTTTACCATTACAACTGAGAGTTAAAATTAACCACTTGCCCTCCAGAGGATTTAGCCCCCTTCCTGACCAGGCCAGTTTTTGCGTTACGGCACTGCGTTATTTTAACTAACAATTGCGCGGTCATGCAACGCTGCACCCAAATTAAATTTATATCCTTTTTTCCCACAAATGTAGCTTTTTTTTGGTAGTATTTGATTGCCTGTGAACATTTAATTTTTTGCTCTATAAAAAAAATAAAGACCGACAATTTTGAGAAAAAAAAACAATATATTTGACTTTTTGCTATTAAACATGTCCAGTAAAAAAAATTTAAAAAATCAAAATTCATCATAAATTTAGGCCAAAATGTATTCTTCTACAAAAATATCCCAATACGTGTAAATTAATTGGTTACGTGAAAGTTATAGCATTTACAAATGGCGGTATATATACTGGGATTTTTTTTTTTTTAATTTTTACTAGTAATGGCGGCGATCAGCAACTTATAGCGGGACTGTGGCAGGCAATCTGACAGTGGGAGGGAACTGACTTGGTGTCAAGTGACACCAATACAGTAATCAGTGCTAATAAAAAGCACTGACACTGTACTAATGGCACTGGGCAGGAAGGGGTTAACATGTGGGGAGATCAAAGGGTTAACTGTGTGATGTTTTACTGTGTGCTGTGTGTGTGCTTCACTGTAAGCACACTGCTTTGCATTGCTCTGCTATGCAAAGCCATGCATAGCAGTGTGCAGGAGCTGACAGGGGAGAGATCTGTATTGCTGTCAAGGTCCTACCTTTTCCCAGAGACTGTGCGACTTCATGTACTGGCGTCCATCTTGGGTTTCTGCAGAGCATGGTGGGAGTCTTTTACGCCTTCAGGTCTCTGAGGTCCATCCCCCAGAGGGGTGTGGCTGAGTACATATAAGCCTGTGATCTGCACATGCTCTTTGCACTTGTGTCTTGTGTCTTTGTGTTGCTACAGCTCTGTGTATACTCTCGTGACTCTTCTGGTATCTGTATGTGACTAGACCATTCTCTGTGT